CTGCATCTGGAAAAAGGTTCCCCCAAACGTAAGAATTGTTTCTAGAACAAAAATACAAAAATACAAAGAAAAGAAGAAAAAAAATCAGAGTAAATATGAATTCACCACAAACAACTGAGGGTTGTTGCACGTGAAGGTTTCGTTGCAAGCTGAATGTTTGTACGTTGTATTTTGTACGTTGTTTACCAAGCTTGAATTGTATTACATTCATACAAAGATAATGTTATAATTAGCACAAAAAATATACCGATAAAATTCCATGAGCCATTTCAAGGTTAAGGGAAAAAATAGGATCGAGTTGACATTGCAGTGCATTATGGGGCTGCTTTAAGAGAAATGCTTCAGCCCCGTTTACACTAGCGATTTTTGCTGCGATTTGTTGTTGTTGTTGTTGTTTGTTTGTTTGTTGTTGTTTTTTTGGTTTTTTTTTTTGTTTGTCGATTTTGTCCATAATAAATAATGGTAAAGAATCTACTTGTAAAGTTTTTTTCAGGATACCAAGATTTTCCTAGACGAATGTCTTTATTGAAGGATGAGACAAAAGATTTTATATTTCCAAAAATTGCCACAAAAATCGCAGCGAAAATCGCCGCAAAAATCGCCAGTGTAAACGGGGCTTCAGATTGCTCTATTTCATGTGTGCGGTATCTGGTAAATGCCGGCCCCTTTGGGTAGACATGTAGCAGTCGTAGAAATTATAGCCATATATAGAAATAAAATACCGAGAATTCCGTCGACACTATTTGGAGAAAAGCTCTTATCAGTGAACTGATCCAAGGAAGCATCATTTCAATTCAAAAATTACACTCGATTTTTTCCGATCAAGATTGCTTACCAGTTAATTGTTAAAGTGCCTATCACCCTTCTGACAATATTCTCAGTATTGATTCTACATGGGGCAAGCTGTTAAATGACCCCCCACAAAAATTCATAGTTTGAGTGCAGATTCTTGCAGATATAAAGGTTTTTCCATGCCATATGCTAATGCTGAATCTGAGCAAAGGGACTCGACTAAGTTAAAAAATATCAGTTAAAAAATATCAGTGCAATATGCCTTTAAAAAATTAAAATCTTAACGGTGGGGTTCGAACTAAACGACGAAAAAAAAATCGATTCAACTTTGCCATACCCCCGAGACATCCGCAGAGCTGAGGCGGCGTATGGACTTCGGACCTGACGGCGATTAAATCCTTCTGCCCTTGGGTGTACGAATTACGCAAGAAAATGTTCTAGCCGAAGCATCAGGGGAGAGA